GGCTAAACAACTTGAGTGAGCATATCCACACTGAGGGCTGCTCTCTTCTTTTAGCTGGCTGATTACAAGTAGTAGTTCAGCTCCTGCTTACACTAGGAATATCTGAGTGGCTACTCTTGTAATGATGTCACAGCAAACCTTAAGGAGAAGAAAATAAAGTGATGTTTTAGACCCCACACACTACGCATGTTCTGGAGTTAATGGGCCAAACTTGTTTCCTTAAAAGACATCAGAGCTGGAGGAGAAAACAAAGACTCACTACCAGGCCATCACCTCCCCCTCTAACAAGAGGGCCAGAGAAGTGGACAACTCCTGGTCTAATTTCCCCTTTAAATTAATTTAAGGGCCTTGTTCTTGCTTAGTCCCCAGGTAATAACATCCAGGTACAAGTAGCATAAATGACTTTTAAAAAATACAAATACTTGGTCATCTCAGAAAGATTGTATCTATACTTTTCCCCTAAGTAGACTTTTTGACCAAAAAAGTGGTAGTTAATATTTTACAGTAAAAAAACCCCACCATTAGCAGAAGAAAAGTTGAGACAGATTTAGTTCTCTTATTTTTGAAAGTTTGGCAGCAGCTATTGTGATTGGCACATTAACAATTCACATATATATATTTATAGTCCAAAATATGCACAATTACTTGAATCTTACCTCCTCTTGCACTCATGCCACACCACTGAAGTCAAGCAGTAGGTGTAACAGAGAGCAAAATTTGGGCTGTTTTCTTTAAGAAGACTTTTCAGTCTAGTTATTTTGTCACTAACCACATTGCCCACAAAGCTAAAAGCTTTTCAAAATAGACTCTAGAGGGTTCGTAACCAAGATATAGTGGTTGTAACTACAAACATTGGACTTTTTATTATTATTACCAGTAAAGCAGTGAGGTCTTTATATGCCAATGTTAGGCTTGAATGTCCATCCTGAAAGCTTAAGAAAACCACTGCATGCTTCCTGGCCCCCTTCTCCAGCTTCAGTTAAATTACCCTTCAGATCATAGAGATATTCATTATCCTAGTGTTGGCTGGTGTTTCTGTGAAAAAAAGTCAGCAATGAAGAAAACAAGGTCAAATTCTGTTCTCACATCTCTGCAACCTGTTTGTCTTCAGTACAGTTGCACAGCTGTAAGAGAAGGATTCGCTCCAGTGTATGCTTTCTGCTAATTCTGTGCAAGTATAGCAGGCATGTGGCATGTTGCCATTGAAAGCATGGCTACTTCTCTTTGTCAGTTAAAAAATGCCTGCTGTCATATCTCTGTTATGGCAACCACGGAGATGTCTATCCCAGAACTCTGCATTGGAGCAAGATCATAGCTAGTGCTTTATTTATTTAATAATTGCTAACAGATTTTCAAATAGTTGAAAAAGAAAACAGAATTTTTTTTAAAAATATTTCTTTATTTTAATGTCAGCATAAGTGACCAAGTGCCTAACTCGAAGCTTGTTAAAATCATTGGAAAGGCTCCCATTGACTTTCAAAGCACTTTGAATCAGGACAATACTGGGGTTTTGATTTTTCTTCACTTTGTACATTTTTTCATCATTTTAGAATAATTTGTTGTATTATTTGTTGAGCTTAAGAATTTCATTTCCAAAATCCACCAAAAAATTATCAAGCTTGCCACTATGGCCTGGATGATTAGCCCCAATTTATTTTCTACTAGAAGATTTACCTGGTGTTGCTTGGGTCCTTAACTCAATTTTTGTTTTTCTTCATTTAAATCATTGCTTTGGGGTGGAGTGGTGATTGAGGGGTCCAGTATGCAGGCTTCCCCAGGGAGAGAAGACAATCCCAGCTATCTCTCACGACAGCAGCTTGAGGCTGGTAAGAAGCACCTCGCCATGGACACTGAAGCTCCAGCAGGCATAGCTGGGGAAGGGGTGCATGTTCCCTGGATAGGGCAGGTCCAGGTTTATCTGCCCCCTTCACTCTCCAGCCAGAGTAAGGAATTAGCAAACTGCACTTTCCCTTCATTTCCTGATGAAGGGGAACAGCCAGCAGTGTTCCTGTACAAATCGGGGGGAAACTCCACCCTCCAGCCCCCCGCAAAAAGGGTGGGAGGGGACGACTTGGGGCTGAGGCAGTCCCAGATAGGGGAAAGAGGGCACACCTCCAGCCAGCCCCTTTCAACTGCCTGGTGATTCTGTCTCTTTTGTGTATGATTTTATGAAAAGCCATCCCATTCTAGGCTCATCCTATTTTCCTGGCATAAGCAAATCCTTACCTTGCTTTCGGTTATGATCAGAGAAAGCTGTATAATGAACGTGGTGGTCCTAGCTCTTACAGTTTAGGAGGATCAATTAAAGTGGGAGCATCCATTGCGTAATTCTGCATAAAGTGATTGGAATAGGTTAAGAAAACCTGTTGAGAAAACCCTGCATGATCAAATTAAAATCAACATGTGTGAACCAGCAGATGTGAGCAAGACCAAGCACCCCACATAATGATAGCAACAGAATAAAAGTGTCTGCATGAAGAGGTCACATGTGAGACCCTGGGAGATGATCCAAACACTAACCAGACATTCCAGTTAGTTTTGAATAGTCTCAGCTGTTCATGTGAGTAGGAAATGTGCTACTTGGGGCAGAGCCATTTTTGCAGTGTGCATTGCTGCTGCCGCCACCAATGCCTCCTCTAGCAGCAGTGATGAAAATATTAAGGCCATGGCCAGAACAGCAGAGGAGCAGTTCTACCTTTACTCTGATTCAGACTTCCTTCTGTGTGCTAGAACAGGACAATAAGCAATGTCTCATTTGGTTACATATCAGTATTGAAACATACTTTTATCTTGGCCCATCAGAATACATGTTTGCTTTGATGACTAAGCTCTCAAATTCAAAATACAACAATAGTTCAGGGGATTTATCTTCTTATTAGGGAACTGCATGGTTCATTATCAGTCTAACAGCTTTTAGAGGCCATTTGCTCTTCAGTGCAATATGGCTGTAGATCAAGAACAATAATTTCTGCTAGTTTTCATTTTATAGATAATATGCTTGGACAATGTTTGGAATACTTGACTTATTGTAAAAAATGTTCTCTCTCTATCTCTTGCTAAACTCTTCTTAGAGGCGATGGATATCCTGGAGCAACAATGATCACGCTAGTATTTTATGTCACTGTCATAACAGAAATTCTAGGCTGAAAATGCAAGTAATTTATCCTTTCCCACTTTGTTGTTGTCATCATCATAGAGTAGGGTAGGATCCTGGAATTTTTAAGATATAAGGCCAGCAGCGTAAAGCAGCTTGGTGCAGCAATGTATCAGTGAAAACTAAAGGGTTCATCTGGGGTGAGTGCATGGGAAGTGAACTCATTTGGGAAAAACTGGAGACAGATAGGGAGACATTTTGGCAAGGGTGGGAGAGGCATATCAAGGCTTTTATTTTATTGACTGCTTTACATTGTATTCTGTTTTTATTATATTCAGCAGTAATTCAAGTAACCTACAGGCCTGTATACTGCAAGATATTAGCATGTGCAAGTTAGAATAAGGCTCAAGGCCTTGAACTCTGAACAGATAAACTTTGAATGGACAGATAGCCCAACAGAAAAGCTCAAGTACTGGGGAGCTGAAAACAAAGTGTTTAAGGGGAATTTCTAGTCACAGGAATATGAGTCCAACCAAAAGAATGTCATGGCAATAAACTGACATACATAATAGGCACATGAGCTACATCAGCATACCTAACCAGAGGAGGCTATGATAATTGACAGTTGATAATTATGATACTAAGGTGAGATCATTGATATACCACCCTATAAGAGAAGAACACTCAACCAGTAATAAAGTGAGGATCTACATGTGAGAAAAAAAGAGGGGAAACCCTATTGAATATGCTTCAGATACAGTGGTATCAGCATAACATATTATAAAAGTGAATCCCAGCCAATACACAGTAGGAGAAAGAGATGTAATCTTTAGAAGGTATTAGAAGGATGGCCACTGGTGATGAGGAGGAGGGTGATGGTGATGAGAAAGATGATGGCTAACATTTCAGGTTGTTCTACAAGCTGTGCACATTGGGGTCCCCAACTATATCATAATTTTTAATAGCACTGAGCTTGATCTTGGGACAAGAGCCCATCAGTTCTCAAAGTGATAACCAGTAATTCCTAAATAATCAATATAATCAGTACATAATCTATAGATCAGGCTACACAAGGAACCTGCAACTGTGACCTGAATTTATAGAGGATTCAAATCATATCTAAATGTATCTACCCATGTGGTCAAGGTATATGAAGCAACTATTTATTAGTGACATTAAGTAGTAATATTTAATTAAGGAGAGTGAATTATTTCATTGAGCTAATCATTGGTGTGATCTCTTGATTGCCAACGTCTATCTGGTAAGACTGTCAGCACATGTAGGAGTATTGGCACAAGATAACAAATCAAATTGGATAAATAATTGGATGTAATTTTTGTTCTGATAAGAATGATCAAAGTGCTGATGTTAGGAGCACTGGGAGTTCTGGGTGCAAGGGTACCACAGGATCCAATGCTGTATGTGTTGGTGAACTCTAATAATACCTGCATTTAGGATATCTGTGTCTTTATCTCTGTACTGGTGAAAGAAAACATCTTATGGAAACCATCCACATTTAAGTATGCCCTACTGCATAGACTCTAGGGATTTAAATCTTCAGATTATTCTACAAGTATTCATTAATCCCCACAATGCCTCTCAAAGGTAAATATTGCATGACTGACTTGCCCAAGGCTGCGTAAAGAGTCATGGTCAGAACCAGTGACATGAAGAGAAGCTTCAAGGGATAGCCAAGTTAGTCTGTTACAGAAAAAAAATAGTCTGGTAGCACTTTATAGACTAACATCTACATGTTTTGTTAGTCTATAAAGTGCTACCAGACCATTTGTTGTTTATTTATGAAGAGAAGAGTTTGATTCCTAATCTCCAGTTCCATCTACACAAGTTTTTCAGATAACCATATCTCAGATTAAAAACTAATTAAAATATACTTTTAAACTTTCAGGAAGTGCATTTGAAGAATACAAGTCGAGGGAACACAGGAAACAGAAACTACAGAATGTAAGAAAATGCCATCCACAAGAATGAAGAATGAATGTGCCATCTGCAGGATACTTCACTGTAAATAAATTATTTGTTAAACATTGGAATACTTAAAAATATATAGTTTAATAAGCTTGATGAAATCTCAACCAATGGGCATTCTCCCAATGAACAATGCAAGTAAACATTCCAACATCAAGTCTTTAGAGAGCAGAATATTATAAGCCAACCCCGTGCTAAAAATATTCTGAGGTTGGTACAATGCTGCTTGATTCTCATTATAAACGTCCTGCATGAAAACTCTTAAAATCCTGTGCCCCTCAAAAGCCTACAAATTTATGGGCCTTTGATGGATCCAATTGCACTAAATTAACCTATGAACCCTGGCCACTGAGTCATTTGTCAGCCTTGGCTCAGAGTTGGGGTTTGGTTTTGTTTAGGGTTTTTTTTTTTTTTTTTTTGCACTTCTATATAAGAACAGGCTGTTTGTTTTACAGTGTCTGATAACTTTGTTTGTCTAACCCCTTTCATATTTGCACAGTCTGGTATTCCCAGTAGCAGCAACTGTAAAGTAACACAACTTTTACACATCGATTAATTCCATCTGTGGCATTTTGACAGCATATGGGTTAAATACATTTAAGACATAGCTTTATTTCCCCCCATCTCGCTAAGATGCAAATAGTTGCAACTTGTGAGGCAAATGATTGTTAGAAGCAGTTAAAGCATATGTAGGCTGTTAGAGCCTCAGTGATTCCTCCAGGTAACAAATTGTTTTGCAACAATATAAATAACTTTTTTCCTCCATATAATGCAGTATGTAAAATTTAGCATATCAATAATACACGTATATCAAACAGTATGTACAATTCTCTTTTATAGTACAATGGTGCTATTTTGTAATCTGTTATATGAAAGGGTCTGGCCAAAACTGTAAAAGGTAAAAGCAAAGATAGAAAGCAAAGCCAAAGATGAAATAAAATAAAGTAGGTTTTAAAAAAAACACAAGTACTTTTTTTAAAGATTAACTCAGTGCTTTAGAGTCTTATTTCAGAATTGTTTCTCACTTTCAAATAAAAATAAAGATGTAAAGTTCCAGTAGTTTCCTTTTTGAGATGTGAATTATAGTGTTTATATTAACACATGAATATATGTGGATATCTGTGGTATACATGGATATCTACATCCATGGCTCATTTTTGCAGATATGGATGTGGATACAAATTTTGTCTCTAGAACCCTGCAAATTTGCGACTATCTGCTTTATATTCACAGATATCCACATCCGTGGATGTGCATGTGGATATCTGCACTCAATTTTGCACATATGAATGCAGATACAAATTTGGTATCTATGTAGGGCTCTACACATGAATACAGCAGCTGTATTTCTGAACACAGGCATACACTCAGACTCACTGAGGTAAAGTGAAAAACTTCAACAGTCTTCAATTGGTAGGATTAGGCCATACATTCTTAGGAAACATTAGCATTCTGCTCTTATATAACAGGAGGTTAATCATACTCTGTTTTATTTCTTCCCACATGCCTATGTGACTAAACTGAGTGTTAATTATATTGCAGCATCCTTCTGTAAATCAAAAAAGCTAACCTGATCATCAGTTATAAACAACAGGAGGAACAATCCGCAGGGAGAGGTGAACAGTGCAGTTCTTCAGACTGTAACTTTGTATTTTTACACGCCCAGATACCTTGATGATGGAGGAAAAAGATTCCATGTTTGTAATTGCTGCCATTTCACAGGACCAAGCTACGTCACTCTCTGATACAAGGCTAGAACCGCACTTTAATAACGAGTGATGTGGAACCGACACTGTTGCAGAGGGAGCACCAAAATAATCCAATAGGGGAAGTAGTACACATGATGATGGTATACCCCTTCCATGTTTGCAACATAGTTCCACTCCCTGCCTCCGGACAGCTGTCCATTCTACATCCCTCAGTAAATTTTAAAGTGCTAAATTTAAATTACTAAATATAAGCAAATATCCTGACACTAGAATATTATACAAAATAAGACTTTCCATTACTACATAGAATTTCACTGAAGTTTAAAAGAGAAGAGAAAATTAAACCTCGCTGTCGATTAACTAAGTAGGCAAAGGGAGCTCCATTTTTCACCTATTGAAAGCAATGTGGCAAAAGTCGTAGTGTAGACGTAGCCATAGAGTGAAATTCACACTTATGAGGAGGGCCTGAACAATGCTTATTAATTATTATTATTTGGATTATGGCATAAATAATAACCATGATCCGAGAACAATGCCAGAGAACACGCAACTGAGATGTGTCTGTAAGACTTAAGTGGCCCATACATTATTTATAGGCCTTAAGCAAGAGTGAATTTCATTCATAAGCAGTAGCTATTTTCAGATTGCCCCTTCTGTTGATGGTTGGCATGTATGAATATATGCGTGAAGCCTCTGCTATACCAAGTACAATGGCTCAATGGCCCTCAGTTTCAACAAGCAAGTGCATTATAAATCAAATTCAGAAAAGAATATGTTGCAATTTGCTTTACCTTTTACGCATTTGGCCTATAATGCCAAAGTGGTGCTATTGTTTTGTTTTAGAAAGTACTTGACTAAAATATAAAAGAAAGCTTATACATATTTTTTTAAAGTATAAAAATGACAATTATATAGATAAACTTATTGAAATAGAAATATGTTTAGCCATAACTTCAATTTTTAATCACAAAAAAGTCATGAAGAAATCAACTGAACTATTGGGATTGAGCCGGGTAAGGGCTTTCAAACACAATACAATTATCAATATTTTATTCCAAGTGCGTATTACAGATGAAGGAAAACATTAGAGTCAGGAGACCCTGAATAGGATTCAAAGCCCAATGAAGTCAACAGAAGGCTCCATGTCATTGAAATCAATGGTGAGTGCTGCTTATAGTCAGTGACAATGGATATAGTTCAGGTTCTAATTCAGGGGAATAATTAACACTCACTATTTCTACTGCCTGGGCCCCAATCCTCCACTATTAGCCCCAAGCAATTCAATACGGTTTTTGCTTGTACAGAAAGTAATGTAAGCAATGTCTATGATTATGGTGGGAAATGAAGAAAAAGTATCGCCAATAAAAACCGGGTTATCTTCTAATACTGAACAATACTGAGTTGTGAGAAAGAGTTGAAAGATATGGCTAACAGTCTGTGAATTTTTTTTAACGTTTTATAGTCAACTATGGACAATTTAATGTGCAAAAAATGACAGTTAATTGTTTTACTACTTTTTGAATGAGAGTTAGTAAGTTAAACCCAGAGATTCTTTGAACCTTTAGGCTAGAATACTTATGTTCTGATGAAGTTATAATCCGTCTATTTAAAATTATTTTAAAGTTATTTTTTAGTCTGAAAAAGAACTGTGATAATTTATTAGGGACTCAATCTGTACAGCTGGTTACTCTCTTAAGAACATTTCTTCAATTCAAACAAACTTTCAAGATGCCAAAGTTTCACACAAACAGACTTCTCCATTGTTATTTTATCAAATGGTAAAACTAGCTAAAATGCCTTTGCATCACAGTTTTGTTTTTTTAAGAGGATTTTTGTCACAAATTTTAAAAAAGTCTAAATCTGCTCTGGCAAGATTCCACAGAAATTATCCATTTTACCTGTGGAAATACAATAAAGATAGATAAATGGATCAAAGTTCTATCTTCAAATAGGAAAAAATCATAAATGCAATTTTTGTTCATCTTAATTCTACACTACACATTTTGCTTGTCACAGCATTGTAATATTTTACAGGACTATCATTGTCCAACACAATATCTGATATAGATATATACACATCTTTTGTTTGATTTTTACATGAAGGAGGTTATAATATCTGAAACTTGATTACATATAGTACAGTATAGATACCAGTTTAACAGAAACAAAAACAAGGACCTCCCTGATGCTTACATTACATTAGGAAGTCTCATACCAGTTGCATAAAGGGTGTATATTGTGCTTTTTAAAAAATCTGCAGTGAAATTTGACCTACAACATATTAAATTTGTATTCTCTGCTTCTTACATATTTTTCTCGTGAATTCCTTGCAAGGCCTATTATAACTTCAGGACAAGATTTTAAAATATGAGTGGCTAAATTAGCTCCAACATCTATATTAACTATGTAAACAGATGGCCAGATTTGCAAAAATGTTGTAAACCTAACAGACCACATTGAAAACTCAGGCAAACCTATTTCAGTGCCTAAGTATGGATTTAAGACCCTAACTTTAGGCACCCAGTTTTGAAAATATTGGCCTAAGTATCATCTTTCATTTCACCCTTCATTACATAGCTTTTCTATGAAAAATTATTAAATGTAAGTCTTCTTGACATAGTATCAAACTGAAGAGAGTTTAGATGTGAGTCACATAGTGCCATCTGAATTACACCTATGTCAACTAAAGGAGATTTATAAATGAATTTAAGACTTCATACCTTCCAATCAGCCTGACAAATATTCAGAGTGAAGAAGACTTTTTCTTCTGGCCAAACTTAATTGATGTACAATAATTTGATAATAGGTAAAATGTAGCTCAATGTATCTTTACTTTTAATGTATCCATTTCTAATCTGTGTCTATTCTTTAATCATATTTTGATCATGACTAATATG